TTTTCACATGTTAGCAAGGGAAGGATCTCAGAGCAGCCCTTTTGCCCTCGGTGTCAGACCACTTCAAAGAACCAGCTTCCCCTGCAGCCTCTTATTTCTGTGACACACAGTTTCACAAACACTCATTGTAAAAACCCCCCATGGTGTTAGGCACTAGGCGTGTGTGTGCGTGTGCACATGAGTGTGTGTGTGTGTTTGGGGGTGTGTTTGTGTGACCTCCTGCTCACCAAAAGGTAATCTCCCCCACCCTGTAAATGGCTTAAGCCCTCTAACGGTCTCACTATCTCACCATACACAAGCACAGGTGAGGTCATAAATGGCAAGTAAAACATCCTCACTAAAGAAAGCAGAAACAGAACCTTCACATACGATGTCCCTGTAGTTAAACACTATAGCCTCCCCCACCTTTCAACAGGCTGGGGAGGACAATAGAAACAAAGGAATGTCCTTAATCATATAGTTTGAACCAAGACATACAAATTTAAGTACAATAATGGCAACATTTAACAATTTGACTCTAACGCCAACAGTAAAATATGGTGGTGGTAGTGTGATGGTCTGGGGCTGTTATGCTGCCTCGGGACCTGAAGACTTGCTGTGGTAAATGGAACCATGAATTCTGCCATCTAACAAAACATCCTGAAGAAGAATGTCCGGCCATCTGTTCTTGACCTCAAGCTGACGCGCACTTGCGTTCTGGACAATGATCCAAATCACACCAGCCAGTCCACACACACTGGCTTAAGAAGAACAAAATGAAAACTTTGAAGTGACCCAACCAGTTATTAGGTTTAGTACTAACTAATGAAAAAGACAAACACTCTATACCAAGAGTGTTACTTAAAGTGTAAAAATGTCTTCCCCCTAATGTCAGATGTTACATTTGAGATGGAAGGAGAGGAATATCCCAGTGGGAGTTTCCCCCCAAAGAGGGACAAAGGACCCGCTAATGATCCTCTACCTAATCACAACCTAATCAGCAAAGGTGTGGATCACAATCAGCCAGGGTTTCGGGTGAGCTCATTGTGAAACCTGGCTCCACCCTATCATGCGATTTCCTGAGGTCAGATGGCCCAGGATGGGAGTGGGCATTAAGGTGTCTGGGGAGGGAACTCAAAACTGGATTATAGATGGCAGACAGTTGGTGTCGTAAACCACCGCCTCTGTTCAAAGATGGTCGCTCACAGTGGACATAGATGTCTTCTTTCACTCCTCTTTCAAACCATCTGTCCTCTCTGTCCAAAATGTGAACATTGGCTTCCTCAAAAGAGTGACTTT